TATATATATATATATATATATATATATATATATATATATATATATCACAGAGGAGGGAACGACAGTTGGTAATTGGGGCTTGCAATTTTATTTTTGTCTATATTCATATGATTAGTGTATAACTTTCAATTGAGGATTAATATTATTTAGCAATTGGCAGATTGTTGTTAAACTATTTAGAAAACATTTGCCAGTTTTGGGCAGCTAAGGAAGCTATATTCCACCAATCCTCTTGGAAAAAACAAGCAATAGTTGCAGATTCATCATATAACGAGTAGCACAATGATCCTCGATGAATGTTCTCAGCCTTCAAGGAGCTAAATGTGATCACATATATTTTCTCTTTTTTGGTAAAAAGCCACAATATCCTACGAGCTTCTTTCCAACTGGGTTTGTAGATAACGGCTTGCTTCGTCTACTTTTCCGAGACGGAAAAAAACAATTTCTCACGACTTCTAACAAGATTTTTCGCAGAAGAATCTGTTAATCGTAAATTTATGAAATTTCACAATACCTCGATGAGTCAAGCATCATTAGCTTGATCTAAATGATTATGGTAACGCATCAAGTTCCAGCCTTCATTAATACTTGTAGTAAAGTCTGGGCTCATGGCACCAAGCAGTCCGGTCCCCTGAGGGCCATTCCCAGCACCAGTTTTGGTTGCAGGAGAATCATCTAATTATAAGATTTTATTGTTTAAAGAACAAAATTTATGATTTGAATGTCACTGTTTTTACTAAATCTGATTTGACGTAAAATTGAGATAAAATATATAATTTACTCAAAATGTAAACTAGAGAACTGTTAGGATCAAGAGCGGCACTAAGGGGAGGGGGTGAATTAGTGTAGTGGTAAAAATATTGGTTTGAAAAATCTTCGTTCGATAAAATCTGATTTTAATGAATACCGTTTCGATTTAATCCATTTTATAAGAAATTGAATTTGAAAGCTTTTGTAAAAGTGCAAAGAGAAAATTAAGGAGATTTGTTGTAAATTGCACAAATGAAAAGCAAACCGATTTATAGTGATTCGATCGTTGTGACCTACATCCACTCCACCGATTCCTCTTCCGTCGAGGCCATCGGCATTCACTAACGGTCTTTCTTCAATAGGCGAAGACCAACCTCCTTCTTACAACTCTATTATCCTTTTGCAGGCTTATGAGAGAACCCTTACAAGTCTTATACCTCTCTTGAATGATCACAAAACTTAGAAAGGGAGGAGGAAGACTCTAACACTTTTACACCCCAATAACTCAAGATTATGTCTATCCCTTTTTTGTTCCCTTTCAGACAGAAAATGATGGGGTTTTTGTAGGCCCCAATGACTTCCTAATTGGAGATAAAGTGTCACATCCATGGATTTCGGGGTATTGGCAGTACCACTGTCGTTATTGGGTAGTACTACTACTAGTGATCTGACACTAGGCGGTACCATCGTTTGACAAGGGCGGTACCATTGCTGGCAACATTTACTGCCGGTGATACTATCGCCTAGTCTGGGCAGTACCACCGCCAAGACAACCCGAGACACTATCTCCTAGGCGATGCCACCGTCGATTGGGCGTGCTGAATGGGCTATTCAATCCGACCCAATTCAGCCCTGTTAAGGGCCCAGTTGGCCCCTAATTAAGTTAGTAGGATTACCTCTGAATCATAACTCTAATTATGTGCTAACTACGAAATTTAAGATATTTACTAAGCTAAATAACTCTATAAGTCTAGGTTTCTTCTCGCGAGCTTCTGACGAACTTCTGATGATCTCTCGGCAATGTTTCGGCGGACTCCCGGCAAGCTCCTGGACTTCACGACGATCTTCTTAGCGAGTTTTGATGAGCTTCTTTGGCAAGCTCTAGGATTTCTTGGTCAATTCCGGTAAAACTTCTAACGAACGTTCGAACTTTCGACGAACTCTCGAACTCCCAACGAAATCATGTTCTTGACTCCGGGACTTCATTTTGCTTTATGCCTTGCTATCGTAGTTAATCCTGCACACATAAAAACCAACTTCGATCTAGATAATTATTACAAAGCTTGAATCATGTTGTCCGATATATCATTGGTTCATCAACGCTTCGTTTGATTTTTTGCCGTATCGTCCTCTCTTGCGGCTTATTACCCAATCAGCCAATTGACCTTTGCAACTCCGATATCCTTAGCGTAATATCCGCTCTTCTTGGCCCGATACTCGAATTCACGGCCCGAAGCCTTCTACCGATACGTCGACCGATCCTCCGGTCCGACATCCAATTTTCTGACATCTTTACTCTGACTCAACATGATTCTTCCTACTTCAATTGTCTCTCCTTGATCGAAGCTTCCTGCATCACTCAAAATGCATATCAAATCATAAAAACTATCAATTGGTTTCATCATCAAAATCCGAGATTCAATAATCTCCCACTTTTTGATGATGACAACTAATTGATGATGGAGTTTAAACAAACTCTCGGAGTTTAACCAAACTCCCCCTATCAATATGCTATATTGATAGAACTCTTGGATTCAAAAATCCAAGCAACATATTATCATAAACTTACGCATAACATCATACTTCTCCCCTTTTGTCATCAACAAAAAGGAGAAGTGCAACTTTCAAGTGTTTATACATACAAGTTCAAATCATTGAGTTTTGTAAGTTTGTAAATTTTGCTAGATGTGCAAGTTTAGCATATTTTGCATCTTCTTGAGATAGGCAAGATAGTACTTTTGCTTCTTTTGCAAGCTAGCAAGTCTTGGTAATGTTCAAAATAGCAAGTTTTATATCATTCAAGCTAGCAAATTTTTTACATTATTTCTAAAAAAATGTAAGCTAGTAGTATTTTTGATGTTCAAGAAAACAACTTTTGCTTCTTGAAATATACAAGTTAGCAATCTTTGCTTCTCTTTTGAGATGAGCAAGCTAGCAAGTTTTCCTTTGTCAATGTCAAAAAGAAGGGGTGGTTATAATAGTGTAAAACCTTTCCCATTTCATCAATTTTAAAATTATGCCATAATTGAGATAAACTTTCAATTCAAATTGAATTCAAGTGAAAGCAATTTTAATCATGATTCCCGTACATGACATGCAATATATCAAATACATCATCATAATAAAATTATAAGTATTACAAGCATCATTCCGAGTCATAAATATTTCATATCATGATGGTATCAATTTGTCAAAGTACATCCTACCATGCATGATCATAACTTCTCCCCCTTTTATCATTGTAAACAAGAAAGAATAAGGGAAGAACATAATGGTATAAAATATTTCAATCATTATAAGGTATACAAGTCATAAATACAAATAAATCATGTCATGAAGGATAAGACCATTTGAATACCAAAAGACATGATTCATATAGTTTATCACTTCTTTGAATAAAATACCAAGAAAAAATCGTAGGAGTACAAAGAAGAGATCTTAAAAAAAAATCTCAAATAATTCTAAGAAACCAAGATCTTAATTTTGATAAAACTCATTCAAATTCAAATCGTCAAAATCATCAAAATCTTAACATTACTTTCAAGAGATTCAACATGGCATAAATAATTTTAATGATCTCATAGTGAAAAATCGATAAGGTAGGGATTGAGAAGTTTTCAAGAAAAATGCTTTCCTCTTTTTGTTTCAACTTATTGATTGATTTCATACATGCATGTTTTTTTCTTTTATGCCAAATCCATGTATCATTCATTAACACCGAAAAAGAACTTTCAAAAGATCGCAAAAACTATCATGCATAAGTTTGAAATATAAACTTGTTAAGCATGCTTTCAAATCATCATTACATTTTCATTAAGACATCAAGCATGGTTTCGTTGAACATAATGTTGAATGATTCTTAAAGATATCTAAACTTCCTTAGTTTCAATTATGTGATTGACTTTATATTAGCATACCCAAATATTTGTTCTTATCTAAAAACCATGCATCATGTTTAGGATCGAAAAGTAAATTTCATCAAGACCAAAAAAGTATAACATATTAAACATAAAGCTTCTTTAAACAAGAGATTTTATTCACCATTTTAATTCCAATGATAATATATTTTCTGTGTTTCATTTCAAGTGATTGATTTCATATAAGCATGCTCATGTTTTTCGTATGAAAACCATACATCATCGAAAGAGCAAATCTCATCATGAAAGTCATCAAGATCAATAAACCATAAATTACCCAAAAATTACTTTAAATCATTATGCATAATTAAATATAAAATCGTCAAGCATGATACTTACATTATTTCATTATTAAACCATTAAGCATGATTTCATTAAAAATGAAGTATTTTTTAATCATATTTAGAAATAATTAATTTAGATACACATTTTTTTTCTCTTAAAAACATACATAGGATTAATCATCAGATTTACATTTTATGTCAAGTGGGAGATTGCTAGTCATAGGCGCCTAGCAAGCCAATCAGGTGAGTGAT